GCTCTGTACTTGTGCGAAACAGTCACCAGCAGGGCTCTGGCTACGGGATTGCATCTTAGAGTGACGAGATGCACCTTTCCTGGCGAGTGACCAAGCTAGCTACGAAGGTTCTACGACATGGTGGGGTACAAAGGCCTGAAACTCCATCTTCTTGATGGTGTCCTATCGCCTTCGTGACCGAACACTACGATACGGTCACGCTCAGAGCTTGCTATCGTGACCAAAGCCTTGGGATAAAATTGCAATTCAAGTTATTTAGGAAACAGGAGGGATTGCAAAATAGATCTTCATCACATCGAACCGCGCCAAACATAGTAGATCCGAACGAGTGGGGAAGGCTGTAACTGGATTGGGCGTATCCTAATCGTGACCCTAAAAGTCAGCGACTAGATTCGAGATCAAGTTTGCCTTAGTAACAAGAATGATTGATAGTCAAGAAAATAAACAATTTGGATGAAGAGGTGCGTCAACTCAGATCGGGAGTGGAAGAAATGTTCGCCGCCATGAAAAATAGGTTTTCTTCTATAGAAAATTGAATGGAGAACATATTCGATAGCATAGAAGAAATGTGAGAGATGATGAAGAGAGAGACTCATAGAGATGCACATAGAGATGCAATCCAAGAATCCGTCGATAGCTCAAGTTGCAAACCTAACTAAAGGTTGACTGGAGAATTTATGGCAAGATCGAAAGGAAAAGAGATTGAATGTGAGGAAGAAAATATCGACCATCACGAACCTCCTCTTAGGGATCCGATTAGGGGTGAATTAGAGATTTTGATAGAGGCGGTTGGGCTTAAACATGGAGAATGAATTATGTTAGAAGTACGGAAGAACACTTAGAAGCAGCGAGGGGATATGACTACCCTGGATACATGTGGGGAAACAATGAAGGAAGAGGAAGTTGGGGTGGAGATGTTAGAGTTAGAAAATTGAAGATGCCGATCAACAACTGATTTTCTTAAGGGCAAAATTGTCTTTTGTATGCCTAAGCGCAATTTAGTCTTTTATTATTATTATTATTGCTTGGTATAAATTTACTTATTTATGTTTAATGTCAGCTTTATGCATGAGATTTGATTGTGAGTCTTAGGTCTAAAGTTTGATAAAAATTACTACTCTCGAATTGTGGGAATGGGGAGAGATCACCTACCTCTCAAATTGTATGTGCTTATCTTTGTATTCTTATTGAGTTGTTTGGATTATTACAATAAAATTTTGTTTGTCCTAATTTATGCAAAAGGCTTTTCGATTTTTGACATCGGATCGTAACAAATGGGTATCAAAGCCTACAACGTTAGATCATAGAAGGTTGGTAAGTTTGTTTCTATGGAAGATCAAGATCCTTTGCACATATTCTTAAATTAACGGTTTTCTATAGCCACAAGTCCAATAATGCAGCCCTGCTCAGTTTGGCATAGTGCCCTTGATTAATGCTAGTTCCCAACAATACACCATAATTGTACTAGTTACAATTGAAGATATTCATGTGATTGGGCTGACAATGAAACAAAAGGTCACCAACTTTTGAAGGGAAGCTAGTAGAGTATTGTTACAATTGAAATAAAAGAACTAGACAGAATTAAATGCTATATGACTCATGGATCAAGCCTAGATTAATAGGAGAATAATAAAATGGTAGTTTTCCTATGGAAATTGGGAGATTGTAATGGTGTTTAACTGTCTCCTTATTTGGAGCTTTCGGGAGATAATTCTGGCCTTGTTGGGGCTCTTATTGTTTGTAAATTTAGTTGCAAGCTTGTTTGTATGGAAAGTAGCTGTTGAATGATATTGTTGCTCAAGAAGTTGTTACTGTTTGAAAATTATGACTGTTGAGTTTCTTTTTATATATCATGAAGTGATTTTTGTTTGTAGAAGATGCTGTGCTGCATGCATGTGATCAAAGACTATAATGTTCTTATTTAATAGTTGATAATCTAATCAAATCATTTTTGATTTAAATACATGCTAAACATATGGAGTTCATGAATAATATAAATTTAGTTAAAAAAATTTATTTTTTAGCACATGACTTGATAAAAATTTTTTTAAAAAATAAAAACTGAATTTACTTATTATCCTTGTACACGTGCTTTCTCTCTTGATTTCATGGAAAATGTGTGCTTTCAAAAACCATGCTTTGATGAATATTGATTAAAATTGTTCTAGATAAAAAAAAATCGGAGAATTTTTTAAAAATAGCTCAAAATCATTTCAAGGATATGAAACCCTTAATAATTCAAATAATTATTTGGGAGATTGTTTCCTTGCAAGTAAAATCCCTGGGGTTCCTTATTTGTGACCTGAAGTGCTAGGATTGAGATAAAATTGAAAATAAAAACCACTGTAGGTAAAACCTAGGGACATTTATGACTCATTTTTTTAATGTAGTATTAAAACTGTGGAACCTAATCCAGGGTTTGGAAGCTGATGTGTGAGTCTGGTTTGCGAAGTAGCCCATTGCAAGAAGTTGGATACAGAAGCTGTGGTAAAGCATTTACACAAACCAACCTTAACTGTGCTGTAGAACAAGTAGTAAATAGTAAGAAAGCGCAACCAAATCGACCCTTATTCTTTTTCATGTTTGAAAAAGAACTAACAAGACCGCTATAAGAAAAGATTTATGGACAATACTATTCTCTCATCCTATGAATTTTAATTGATTTTCTCATTTTATGTCATTTGGTGGATATAAAAATTAGAGGTTGTCAGCAATAAACTCTAGTTCACACAATTCATAACATGGCCTAGTCCATTTTATGGTTAAACGATTTTAATTGAAGGACAGATTATTTTGCATTCATGCATGTTTCGTCGGGTAGAACTGCTCCATTTATGTGTGTTTGCTTCTTGATTTAATTAAACACGTTGAAATGGCTGTCTAAGCATATGTTTTGATAGTGCCAGCCCTGCTCCATATATGATTGTATATTATATTGGATTGTTTTGATTTGTATAGTCAAACCATCCTTCTTTACTCTTTCAATGAGCTTTTCCTAAAATTGTAAGCCATTTTTTTTAGATCTACATAATTAATTTATCCTTCTAGAAATCTATGTTTCTTTCTTGCTTTGAGATCACGAGACCCCTCTGGACGGCATTATTCTTGTTTGCCATATAATTTAAAATATTAATCAAATTGATTTTGATTTAAGTGAATGCTAACTATATAAAATTATTACTGATCTGACTGCACATATAATTAATAATATTTTTTTTTAGCTAATTAATTACTACAAAAATCATTCAAATAAATAAAAACTAAACACTTTTCTTATCCTAATACCTGTGGTTTCTTTGTTAATTTTATGGCAAAGGTATTTATTTAAATGCATGTTTTAAAACCTTTTTTTTAAATAATATATATCATAATTTGTCTTGATAGATTTTCTTCCAAAATAATATGAAACAGTACATGAAAAAAAAAAGAATTTTTACACTTATATTGTTGTAGAACAAAAAACAGAGATTTGAAGGAAAAAAAAAATTAAAAATATGTTGAAGTTGAGATTGGCCTAAAAAATAAAAATATTAGGTTTGGAGATTGTTACGTTGCAAGTAAAATCCTTGTGGAAACTTCTTTGTTATCCTTATGTGGAAGCTGATGGTGTTTTTTTGGCTGTTTTGGGTAGTTGCTAGCATTAAGATAAAAAAGAATATAAATACCATTGCAGTTTTGAGTAAAATATAGGAGTATCTTTGACTTAAACACGATCTCAAAACTTTGGAATTGAATTCTGAGATATGGAAGCAGATGTGTGATTCTGACTGGCTAAAGAAGTGTGCTGCGAAAAGTTAGATACATAATTCTGATTCAAAGAAGGTGCACAAACAAACCTTGTGGAAACTTCTTTGTAATCCTTATGTGGAAACTTCTTTGTGAACTTGTCTTCAACTGATGGTGTTCTTTTGGCTGTTTTGGGAAGGTGCTAGCATTAAGATGGAAAAGAATATAAACACCATTGTAATTTTGAGCAAAAGTTAGGAGTATCTCTGACTTAAATTCAATCTCAAAACTGTGGAACTGAATTCTGAGATATGGAAGCAGATGTGTGAGTATGGCTGGCTAAAGAAGTGTGATGTGAAAAGTTGGATACATAAAGCTCATAAAGCTGATTCATAGAAGGTGCACAAACAAACCTTATGGAAACTTCTTTGTAATCCTTATTTGGAAACTTCATTGTAATCCTTATGTGGAAACTTCGTTGTGAACTTGTCTTCAAACTGATGGTGTTCTGAGATATGGAAGCAGATGTGTGAGTATGGTTGGCTAAAGAAGTGTGTTGCGAAAAGTTGGATGCATAAAGCTGATTCAAAGAAGGTGCACAAACAAACCTTGGTTGCGGTGCCATAACTTTTTAAACAGCAAGTTTTAATAAAGCCCGCCCATACATACCCTTATTCTTCTCCATGGTTCTTCAAAAAGAAGTAGCAAGAGACTACAAGCAAAGATCTATGGACACAAATAAGAAAAAATGATGGTAATAATACGAAGAGTTCCGTACTGTAGTTTAAGAAGTTTCTCTTACATTTTTTCTAATATTTTTCTCTTCACTCTTTTGATCTTTTATTTTGTAGTAAGTATGTTATCTTAATTCTTCTTAACATGCCTCAGCCCCATGGAATGAGCCCATCATCACATCTGGTGGACAGATTTTTATATATGACAGTCAGAGTCTACTGAATTTGAATAGCTATATAATATTTGAATTATGTAAATTTCTGAAAATGGGCAACGAAATTTGGCCTTTTGTGCACCTTAAGTCATAACCTTGGTGCAGTAAAATATTTTGGAAACATTAATTTGAACTAGTGGGCATTTTTTTGAAAAAATAAATCAATCATTTATCTATTAACATTCATTTTAAGCTTTGTTATTTGTTTCACAGGCTTTAAGTTTTCAATTTGTATTGAAATCCAATGAGATCTGATATCAATGTAAAGCCCTTTCTCTAGTTGATTAACTGTGCTCTTCATTCCTTTAAATCAAACTTTTTGCAGGGTGCGGAACATGTGGATATTCCAGACGACCCCACTGATATTGAAATAACAGATAAAGGTACTCGTGCTGAATCTCCATCACCATCATCTAACATGCAGACATCATCTATTGTTGCAGCTTCAGCAGCAATAACTGAGAGCACCACTACCCCTGCTTCATTACGCATGGTATTCCTTTCTATTTTTTATGTAATTTAGCTAAAGGTTGTTTTTTTTTATTTTATAAACAGCTGATTTTCTTTTGCTGTTATGGTCGTTATTGACATGCAATTTTGCTTTGAGGATATGAGATTGCATTAGTATATGTTCGGTGCGCGAATGTATGTCTTCACCCCTTCCACCTGCCTTGGGGTTGCTGGAAGGGTTGACGGAAGTAGGCGAGGGTGCAGGGGGGAGAGGGGGGTTGCTTGCGACAACAAGTAGGGACACAGGGAGGATTGGTGGTAATAGGTCCGGTGTAGGAAGGATTGACGACAGTAGGTAGAGGTGCATGAGGAAAAAAGCTGACGGTCAGAATAGGAAAGGTTGGGCGCAGTGAAGAGGGCAGCAAGCTGGGAAGGGAAATATGGAGGGATTTTGTAGAGATAATCATGGGCAGAATACAGTTGGAGTACCACCTGTTCTCGATTAGATCCCTAACAAGGGAGAAAAACAGACGGCTAGAAATCTGAAATCAGCAAAAAATAAACATTAAATAGGAAAACAACATATTTATAATAAGAGATAACTTGGAGGGGAAACCCCTCTTCTTGGGCGTCAGCAGCTCCAAACTTGGGCTTGGTCGGTTCAGTCTCCCGCTAAACCGACAACCTTCTTGTTGAACATGTTGGGCCGGTTCAACCCCTAACCCCGTCGCCATTACTATATGTAAACTAATAATAACTTGCCATCTTTTATGTCGGATTCTTCAATTGTAGTGACTGCATTTTGTTCTGTTGTCATTCAAGGTATCTTTTCTAAATCTCCCAAAATAAAAAGTAGGTGGGGATTAAGTTTCAGTATTGTTTAGATGTAGGTTACTAACATTTAAATTTCTCTAAAAGAACATATTGGATAGCATTATACACCTGGCAGTTTTGGCCACTTATTCTCTTGAATTTTTATTTAGATCATTTCAAAGCACTTTGTAATAATTATTTTGGAATTATCTGCTATTGATTATTCTTTATTCAATGCAATTTTATTACAGACAAAATCATCATATGATGGTATGAATTTGATCAAGTTTGTTGTTTGGCATTTAGAAGGAAAATATTGTTTATTTTTTAATAGATATCCCTTATATATATATCAGCACTGAACAGTGATCATGGGAACACCCAAAATGGCATGCATTATCATTCAAATGATGTAAACTTTGCTATTTAACAAAGTTTAATAGATAAATAGATCCACAATTGGCATTTGAGGTTACTTTAAGCGATCAGTCATGCTATATAGTAATCTTTTTCAATGATATTTGTTAATATACTTGGGAATTTGTAGAATTGCCTCGCAATGTTTTTTTTTAGAGTTTGCTTGTGCTAACTAACAATCTCAATGATGAATGAAATGCCAAGTTGAGTAATAATCATGCAGAGCATTTTTTATGACCTTTGATATTGACATGAAGAATTAAGGAACCTTTTCATTATTGGAAGTAGTTTAAGTCTTTGAAGGGTATGAGCTAGTTTGAAACTAAGAAAATCAATCTCTTCAGAAGATTGTTATCATTTGTTCTATGAGTTTTATAATCTTTTTACTTTTAAGAAAGTCCCACTTTGAGAAAGTACTAGGGTTGCTACAAATTTTTTTTGGGGAAAATGCTTTTGGCTATAGTGCTTTACCTGAAAGATACATATATGATTACTTCCAATGAGTAAAATATCATCAACATAAACAACCATGACAAGTTGGAGCCTAAATGTGTATGATAGATGAAGATGAAATGACATATAAACTTTGTTTAAGTTCATATATACCCTTCTTAAGTAGACATATACGTTTCTCCCCCATTTAACATACTTAGTAGGCCACTGCCTATAACCTCTCATTTGCCATAAAAAAAAGTCATTATTCACTTCCATTTGTAGCATTCCACATTAGGCATGTGTTAGGCATAAACACTCCAACACTCCAATGCATGTTCGACAAGCTCGAATTTATGCTCGAGTTATTTCAAGCCCAAATTAGGGCCATACATGTAGATATGGCACGATCTAAGGGCGGCGTACATGAGACAAAGTGGGCACATGTTAATACTTTTAAGAGTTTGATAGTACTATCACGTTCCATTTTGAGCCCCTAGTCAAGCATGAGATGTGGCAAAGATGATCAACCCAATTAGACACATTTTCCTCTAACATGCATTCTGACTCTTACTAAATAGGATTGAGTGGGTAGAAAAATCTTGTGCTTAGACTGTGATAAAATATATGTTTTTTCATAATCATCAATGAAAACCATCACAATTATTAGTACAAATGCATCCATAATTAAGTTTTTTTTTGGAATAAACTATAGCGCTACCAATCAAGATCTTATATAATTAACGCGTTAATTCTCTTTAATATAAATCATCAACATTTTTCATTTCTGATATACCAAAACTATACATCAAAAGATTAAGATGAAGGATAAAACATGATCACCTCGTTAAAATTCAACATGCTCTTTCCCTTTGAAATAATAACTAAAGTAATATTTGTTGAGCTGTAAAACTGTGGGATATTGAAGTCTAATAGAGTTCAAAATATAAGGAAACAATAATGTCACGTTAAGGTTTCAAATTGATATGAGTATTAATAATCATAGATATGACCAGCTTTGTGCAATAAACATCTAATGCTTGGTCTGATAATTGAACAAGACGGGATGCAATCATAAGCATTAAGCATCAATGTCTATAAGAAATGAAAGTATAACTGCCAAGTGCTCAATTATTCTAAAACATTCTTGTCAGTTTTAGAAGTGTAATATAAATATTGTTAAATTTTGGCACATATTCAAGGCATTGGCTTGAAGTAGAATCACTCCTACATCATAAGTTAGCTGCCTAGTCTTATCACAATTGTCAACAAGGGTTGACTTGCTTCAACATTGTAGTTTTCAAATGATCCCTCGATAATACTTTGATTACTAACGTATAATTATCGAGAACTGAGAATGCATTTTAGCTCCTTAATAGAGCTAAACCTATTGACATTTTGCCTCTCTCGATACAAATCATCATTACTGCCAGCTTATCTTACATGATATCACTTTTCATAGGCATTTCGTTGGCAATATTATCATTAATACATGTATGCAAGAAGTTGACAACATGCAATATGCCTATCCTAGCTCATTGCTCATGACAATGCTCTTTGTTGAATTGGGTTTATAAGATTGGGTTGAAGCAATGGAATGATTGTGTTATGCCGGCCTAGCCTAAGGGTGATTTAGGCTTTTGTTATTTATATATGCTCAGTATGTAAATAGGGCGAATATGTTTAGGGTTAGGGATGTGCACGAGATTGTGGTTGTGAGTCTTAGGGTTAAGGCTGAGAGAGTTTTCCTACCTCTCAAATTGTAGGAATTGGGAGAGACCGCATACCTCTCGAATTATAGGTGTTTATCCTTTATTTTATATGTTCGTGGTTGTATTGTTTGCTTTGGAGAAGTTAAATATTTCTTTTTTCCTAATTTTTATGGAAAATCGCGCAAATCATAACAAATGATATTATTGCAATCGATTTTGGAAAATGACTACTGAATTGTTTTGGATCAGAGGGGATTGCTACATACATGCGCTTGGAAGGAGTTTTGAAATCAGATCTGTGGCTTCTTGGAACGGAGGTTTTGTGCAATTAAACCTAGCAAGAAGAAAGAAATGAGATCAAAGGGATTGTGCTATTGAACCTGGCGGAAGAATACCACGAAATCGAAGGTATCAGGCAATTCCACCGCCGAGAATCACACCTGGATAGCATATAGATGATACAACCGTGCTATTGAGCTCATTGGGAATTGACGAAGAGTACCTCCTTAAGGCGTGGTTGAGCTAGTTGGGAGCTTCGAAATCACGACACTCATGTGTTCTGAAGATTGCGGCGCGTAGAGACCTGAAACTTCTATCTTTTTCCTATTGCCACTTCATGACTGCCATCTTTTTAATGTTTTTGCTCCATTCTTGCAACTCAACTTGATGACCCATACGTTGTCATTTAAGGGGGAGGCGCCAAAGAGAAAAGCCCCTTGCAAAGATAAATTCAGGAGAAATAAGCGAATGGGTTATGTTTTTTGTGTGATGAAAAGTTTGCCCTAGAGCACTGTTGCAAGGATCAGACATTACAGGTTCTTATAATACGACGAGGAGGCAGAGGAGCTTTATTCAACAATAGCTATCTTTTATCCACCTTGAAAGCAAAATTTTTTTGGGAGAGGACAATTTTGTCTTTTATTAGCACGAGAACAATTTCATCTTTTGTTATTTATTAATGTTTAGTATAAATAGGACTAAAATGTGGGTATGCATGAGATTATGGTTATGAGTCTTATGGTTAGGGTTTGTGAAAGATTTCCTACCTCTCGAATCGTAGGAATTAGTAGAGATTGCCTATGTCTCGAATTGCAAGTGTTTATTCTTTATTTTGTATGTTTGTGGTTGTATTGTTTCCTTTGAAAAAATAAAATGTTATTTTTCCTCTAATTTCTGTGGAAAATCATGCCAAATCATATCAAAGTGCTAAAGTGTACGAGTAATGTTTTTTTATAAACATAATATTCTATTATGAATCCATCACATATATATGTCAAGAAAAGGCAATATAGTGGACATTTTTGTAGTTGGATAAATAATGTTATAATTCAACGATAAAAATTGATTATAGTTAGGTGACTTAATTTAATTAATAAGTCTATATATATATATGTATGCATGCATGTATATTTATGTATGTATGTATGTAATATATATTACATACATACATATATATACATGATATATATATAGATATACATACATATATATATATATATATATATACATATATATATATAGATATTTCAAATGAAAATTTTGGAGTTGATCATTATTTTTAAGATGATGATTATCGAGGACAAGTCTATCCATGTATGTGTTTAAACTGGCCTTATCCTTTTTATTCACATGGAATTCCTTATAATGAATCTGGAATTCAAATAATATGCAGTAGCATAATAATTTTGATGTAGCTAACCATTCCATTTGTCATCAATAATTTATCATTTTTTCTGATAAGACGCTTCTTATTCTCCTAAATATTTTGTTATTTTCTCTTTGCTTTGTTCATAGATTTATAAATAAATGTCATAGCTGGTGCCCTCCCATCAGCAGCATGCATGTACTAATGGCCTTAGTCTTCATAGCACAATAACGCTATACTAAACGAATCATCTTTTATAATAATATTCTTCTCTTGTTTTTTTTTTTAATTTTTTTTCCCAAGAACTTTTATCTTATTCTTCAAAAGCAAATATTGCCTCAAAAAGTTGTGGTGATTTTTTTAATTTTTGCAAGCTCAAATAAGCAATTACAAATCTTTTCTGCTTGTTGAATAAATTTATTATTTATGAATTTTCTCATGAAGCTTAATATCTAATAATAATTTTTAAAATTATTATTATTATTATTTGACTTTAAGCAAAGAAGATTGATGTTGTGACAATTATTTCAACTTCTCAAGCATTTAAATTAAAACAATGAGAGCACATAAAGGGCACTAAAAGATGAATCCTTTCTGAACAACCTCATTAAGCATTTTAAATAACAGTTGTGTGGTTTTTTTACAAATGCAAATATATCAATAAATTTTAGAAATATAATCCTCTAAAGGTTGTTGACAAGAAAATTTATGATACTATTTGTTTAATAATTGATCTAGCATCTAAATATTATTATAATTTCTATCTCAATCCACATCTTCACTTGATCAATCATCATTGTAAGTCTAACATTCTCATCTAACATCCAAATTCAAAGCTCATAGATACTAGGAAGATCTAGTCATTGTCCATAATTTCAAGCAGAACAAATCATATCAATCTATGAAAAACTTCTAACCACATTAAATGGAATTCCGTTCTCATAGAAATATCTTATAATATTTAAACATGCTCAATTTCTGTGTTCTCTTGCAAAAATTAAATGAGGATTTATTGGAGAATTATTATTTTCTTCTTCATTTAAATTCATAGCAAATCTGTCCATTGTCTCTTAAAGCTCCTCTATAAGCAAAGAATAAGTAACTTTTACTAAACTCATCTTATTGTGAACCATAGAGCTTTACTCAATTATTTCTTCCATATTTTGTTTGAGTTACTTCTTTTATGGTGGTTTAATTTTTTAAATAATCTACTCATTTTTTTAAAATTTCATATGGTACTTTTTTCACATCGTCCAATATTTAAATCTGTGCATGCTATGTGATCCTTCAACCTCTTATAACTTTTAGTAATCATTTGGTCATAAAATTTATATTTCAAATAAACATAACTTTCATTTGCTCTTTCTTTTGGAGCTTTAATTTGAGTGCTATATTTTCTAGTTGGATTCTTTTCTTTAGCTCTACGACCCATTCTAATAAGTAACAAAATAATAATATAAGATAATAATTCAAAAAAAAAAAAAAGAAAAAGAAAAGAAAAAAAATACTAAAAGGAGAAATATTTTAAGATAATAAATGGAATCCCATATGCTAACTTTAGTTTGAAATGTGGAGAATAATGCTATAGATAATTAATGTTGGAGAACAATAGCATCTAAGATTGATGAGGTATAATAAAATTAGAAGAGTCTAATTACTTTGTGGATTCCCCATGCAAATGCCAAGATCAAGTATGTCACTATGGTGTTTGCCTTTAAGTGGATAACAATATTATCTTCTACAGAACTTGCATATTATAGAAACAATTTGAGTGATTAAATGAAATTTTATTTGTTATGAAATTCAATCATGGCGATTTTGAAAAAAATTTAAAGATATCATAATTAAGTAGAGTCATCATCAAATTACAGAAAATTGAGCCACGATAATTAGTTTCATGGTAATCATAAAGATTTCATAAATATAAAAAAAAGTAGTCGAGAATCCCTGTATTTGTGCATGCCATGATCAAATAGTTGAGAATTTGACAAAAGTAAAAAAGTCATGTTATAATTTTGTTGTTTATATTCATGTATAGGTAAAAAAAATTGAGAAATAAAGATACTAAGATATTGTTTGAATGTTATGCATGTAATTGTCCTTTAGAATATTGGTCTGCATGCATATTGGTAGGGAACACTGCATTTAACTATTTATGGTGTATGTATATATAGATAGATGTATGTATGCATAAAGTCCAGTCCTAACAAAAGGAAAATCAACCAAATCACCATGTAGCAGGACCACAAGCTCAACTAGAGGAACCGAACCAAGCTGAATAGCATCAGACGATGCACCACATTTAGTCAAAAAATCAGCAGGTTTATTGAACTCTGATTAAAAGAAAAAAAATCCTTTTCCAAGTAAGAACGCAATACCACGGGTAAGTAGTGATACTATTTCAGATATTAAGGGTGACAATGGAATCATTTTCAATCTGTAAATGAAACAACTTCAGTTCACGGGACCAGCAAAGTAACAACACAGCTAAAACATCAGAATGGAGAGCGCGCGCACACACACACAAATATTTATATATATATATATATATATATATATATATACATATAGTGCACTAGTTATAAGATGAAAAATTTTGGTTCTTTTTTATTTTACCTTTGTATCTTACTATCTTACTATATTTTTTCTAGTGTTATTGGTCTAGTTTGTATTTTTGATCAGTTCTTTTGCTTATTTCTATTGAGGTGTTGTTAATAAATGACAATTAGTGCACTCGATGAAAATTAAAATTTATTTAATAATGTAAAATTTTTATGTATCTTTGAGCTTTTTTCTAGAAAATATATGGTGTCATACAAGCTTTTTTGAAGCTTTTGAAAGAAAATGTTAATATCACGTGCATTAATTACACACTTTATATCAGAATTTGTAAGACAAAATATAGTGTTCATAATGTGTCGCGTCTTCTTTTTTACATTTTTTTGTGTTGTTGTGTCTGTGTAGTGTCATGTCAGTGTTTGTAATTCATAGCTAGCATAGTTTCCACATGATTGATGGCTTAAGAAGTTTGTATAGATTATGTCTGGAAATTAGGGAACTATCTAAATAACCTATATTATATAGTTGTATGAATCTTTTTGCAACTAGTCGAGTTGTGCACTATTTGAACCCATTATGATGAAAATTGGTTGTGAACATCTAATGGTTAGAAAACTGGTTTAAACCCAAAAGGAGAAAAACTCAAACCTTAAGTATGATGACTGAGTTGGAGCACCTATTTTGGAATTCATCGCTTGATTCCAAAAGGGATTGTCTTGAAAATAGACACATGATAGGGACAATACAAAGATCAATAATATATCTATCTAGTGGCAGTTGTACGGCCATGAGCTTGTGTTTGTCATTGCGAGTGAGTGGGAATGAACACATAAGCAGCTTTTGTGAATGATGTGGGAGTAAGCACATAGGCAAGTGGGCACGAAGAGCAACAAACTCGCAAGGGCTGGGGCAACGAAAAGCAGTGGGCAAGGTGTGAGGGACATTTGGCTCGGGCAAGTCCAATCCTTGTTCTAGAAAAGGAAAATCTTGTGTATTATTCAATCGTGATCAACCTGCTTATAATAAGGAGACAATTACAATGATCTAGAGAACACTTAAGACAAGATGCAGAACTCTTTAATTATTAAAAATTTTAATATTTAATATGGTTTGTTGATGATAGCTTATATTAAGTTATATGTTCTTGATTATCATTTTGGAGTTTACACTGACAAAATCCAAGAGGATGGAAAGACGCTGAAGTATGCACTTAATTGGTTAGGGAGATTGGGGATGTAAGCACGGCTGAAAGAGGTGGGGCTAATGGCTATGACAATGCCGATCCTTGGTTTGATACTATGTTTGAGGATAATCTCGTGTCTTATGTAATAGGGGAAAAAGTACAATGATTTGTGAACACCTAAGTTAACAAGCACCACCCTAATTATTAGAGAACCTTCCAAATTAACTTTTCTCTTTGCGTCATCACTTAAGATTAATATAGTTGGTCTTGGTTATCATTTTGAAGTTTTCATAAACAAAATATAGTGGGAAGGAAAGAAGTTTCCACTTAGTGCAAAATAATCTATGTTAAAATTAGGTGACTCACATTGATGAAAACTTGTAAATCCATCGAAAGAGATTTTACTGATATCTGATTTGCCAGGTTGGCATTATAATTATGTTTTTTCTTTGTTTTTGCAACTTTCACTTGCAGTGTATAAATTTGGCATAATGGATGGGAATATTTGAAAACATGTTCAATATTTTGATTTAAATCATATTTGAATGAGGATCTTCCAATATTTATGTGCATTGTTCTTGAAGTATCTGAAATTCACATATTATATTTGGAAAATGACTTCTAAACATGAATTTTCAGCTTCGTGTATACTTGAGAACGTATGCACTTGACCAAATGGTGCAAGCAGCTAGCTCCAATGCTGGACCAAGAACCATCAAAAGGGTTGAGCAAACATTGTCAGACCTTGGGGTATGTATCTCCAACCTTTGCTAAGGCTTCTAGTTTTTGGCTTCTTAACTATTTTCTCTTGTGAAATCACATGTCTGAGGTGGTGACAGGGTTTTGTTTTTTATTACACAAGTTTGCTAATCAATTTATTATTTAGCTCTTATGTTCGTACTTGATGTGCTAGATTATTAGTCTGTATTACATAAGTTTACTAATCACATGCTTTTGATTTTTTTCTCTTCTATCAGGTACACATAAAACCAAAAGTTCCAACTAAAGCAGTATGCGCAGAGCATCTTGAATTGCGCAAAGAAATACTTGCACTATTCAACCTACAGAAGCAGGTTTGGACTCTAAAATACTTATTTGATCATGCCGTGTAACTTTTTAGTTTCTTTTCATTCTTTTGATATATGATTGTTTCCTCACCATAACTTGGTCTTCTAAAAAGAATTGCTATAGTTCAAATCGTTTTGTATATGGCCGGCTCAATTAACCATCTATTTTACATTGGTACTTTAACTTGGTTTTGATGTACATCCATTGATGAGTTGAACTGTGTTGGCTGGTGCTATTGAGATGTGTACAAATCTTATTGTTTCTTGTTTTTATACGGCATTCAATGCAAAATATGGTTTCCAGGTTTATATTTTATTGAAAGATGTTATTCTTCATTCAATTAGTTGGTGGTATTGGAAGATTTTGATGTGCTAAAACGTCCTATGAAATTATGATTACTCACTTGAGCTGTTCAACCTAAGATAATCGCATAGCGCCCGCGCCCAGCACTCCATCTTGATGGATTTTAGTGTAGGACTCTCCCCGCATTCATATATAGATGGATCTTGTGCCAGATTCTAATAATAAATTTCTCTCTTCCTCCTTTGACATTTGTGCTACCACTTGTTTGCTCTCCACCCTTGTTCATGTTCTTTCTATCTCAATGCATATGGAAGAACCATGCTTTAGGCATTGCCTTAAACTTTGTAGCACATTCGCTAACATTTGTGTTAAGGCCTTCTATCCGATTCCATGCCATCAAGTGATATGCTTGTAGTTGACTTTAAATGTTTTAGGGATGTAATGGTGCTCTTTTTGGTTTTTAAGCCAGCATGGAAGTAGTTTTGCGGGAGCATTTCATTTGAATTTTGGGGAGTTTATCTTCTGAATATTTGCATACATCTGAGCCACTAAAGAAGTTTGCTTACAGTATAATAATCTTCTTTTCCAAATCAGATAGCTAATCTTGTTATCATGTTGCGCTCTATTTTTTGCATTCTGTTTAGTTTAATGATTATTTAAATGGCCATGTGCAAAGCATAGGCAAAGGATGTCTGACGTTCAAGATTAGTGCAAAATGATTTATTGATTCATATAAGGTAGAGCTATTTTAGATTTTGCTTTAGCGTATGATTTTGTTATTACTTTCAGAAAAGAGATGAACATCTTATTACTTATAAGAGTGGATCTAATAAAACACAAATTGATTATTTTCTTATGAGAAGAAGAGATCGTCGCGATTGTAAAGATTGTAAGGTCATTCCAAATGTAAATTTAAGTACCCAACATCATTTATTAGTTCTAGATTTTAAGATGAAGAGTTGTAAAATAAAGAATACTAGGACTCATCGTCATAGAATTAGATGAAAAAACTTAAAAGACAAATAAAGTTAGTTTTATGAGTAAAATTCAAGATTTCAATATTTGGGATATTTATGAAGAAACAAATGTTATGTGGGATAAAGTAACAAATACTATTAAACAAATAGCCACAAATGTGTTTGGAGAATCAAAAGAAAAATTTTTATAAAAAAATAGTTGATGGAATAATAATATGCAAGAAATGATAAAATATAAGAAGTTATGTTATAAAAATTGGTTTAAATGTAAAGTTTAGAGAACTGAGAAAAAGATCAAACGACCTGCAGGGAGTCTAAAAGAACAATCCTTGATGCTAAAAATTCTACTTTTAATGATCTTTATAATAGATTAGATACTAAGGAGGGTGAATAATATATGTATAATAATATATGTATAAACTAGAAGAAAAGTAAATATTTAACTCAAGTAAAGTGTATTAAAGTATTTAACTCAAGTTAACTCAAGTAAAGTGTATTAAAGATGAAAATCAAAAAGTACTTTTTTTGGAAAAGATATTCAACATAAGTGAGTGAGTTACTTTGATAAACTTTTTAATGAAGTTTCTGAAAATACAATCGATCTTAGTGATCTTAATATCGTGAATAATAATAAAACGTTTCATTTTTGCCATTGCATTAATAAAAAAAAAAGTTGAGGAGGCTTTAAAGAAAACCAATTTTTAAGAATAAAGGGGATGCACAAGAGTGTGCAAATTATAGAGGAATTAAGTTGATGTGTCATACTTTAAAGTTATGGGAGAGGGTAATTGAACATAGGTTAAGATACATCACAAAGATTTTTCATAATCAATTTGGATTTATGCCGGGCAAGTTTACTATGGAAGCTATATATTTATTGAGAGGTTTGATGTAGAAGTTCAGAGATAATAAGGAGAATCTACATTTGATTTTTATTGATTTAGAAAAAGCTTACGATAAGGTTCTAAGAGATATCCTTTGGAGATCTCTTGAGAAGAAAGGTGTTGATAACATATATTCAAGTCATTAAAGATATGTATACTAGAGCTGTTACTTGCGTTCAAATTGAAGGAGGATTGACCAAATTTTTTCCTATTTCTGTTGGATTACATCAGGGATCGACTTTAAGCCCATATCTTTTTGCTTTAGTTATGGATGGTCTTACTGGACATCTACAAGAGGATGTACCTTGGTGTATGCTTTTTGCTGATGATATTCTTCTCGTGGATAAAACGAGAGAAAAAGCCCAGGAAAAACTTGAATTATGGAGGTCTACATTGGAGTCTAAAGGCCTTCGTTTAAGTAGAACTAAAACTGAATACATGGAATGTAATTTTAGTAGTAATAGCTCTAGTGACAGAAGTGTGACTTTGGGTGATCAAATTATTAAAAGGTGTGAACGATTTAGATATCTTGTTGGGTCCGTTGTTCAAAGTGATGGGGATGTTAATAGTAGAATTCATGTTGGTTAGTTGAAGTGGAGGAATGCTTCGGGCATTTTGTGTGATTGAAAAGTACCGCTAAGACTGAAAGGAAAATTTTATAAGATGGTGGTGAGACCTGCAATGCTCTATGGCGCTGAATGTTGGCCTTTAAAAGAGAAGCATAATAATAAGTTAAGTGTTGCCGAGATGACAATGATTAGGTGGATGAGTGGCTTTACACTTCGAGACAACATGCGAAATGAATTTATCCGTGATAGGGTTGGTGCTCCTGTGACGGACAAAATTAGAGAAAGTTGGCTTAGCATTAAACGTTGACCATTTGATGATTCGATTAGAAGAGTAGATGTTTTATAGTCGACTTGTGTTAAGAAGGGTAGAGGTAGGCCTAGAAGACTTAGGCTTATTGTATTAAAAATGATCTTAATTTACTAGAACTAAATGAAAATATGACACTAAATAGGACGCAATGGAGAAAAAGGATTCATGTAGCCGACCCCATGTAGTGGGATTAAGGCTTTGTTGTTGTTGTTGTTGTATAATTCAAATTGACAAATCAAATATATACCAGCTTGTCATTTGGAAAATGTACTAAAAGTTTAGTCTTTTGTAAATGGAATTTTGTCCATAAAATGATTAATGGAATTTAAAATGCCATTAATGATTAATGATTAATGATTAATGGTCTTTTATTGATTCATATATGATAAAATGCCATGCATAGGTGCCAAGTTTTAAAATGATTAAGGAATCAAAATATCATTTATCTCTTGATTATGATTTGTTAATGAAATTTTGTCCATAATTTTAATGTTGCTCCTATGGGTTGCAGTGCAACATGATAATTATGATGCTGATGTTGGTTTGTTGAGCTGATTCTTCTGTTTCAAGCATGGCATTTTTGTGGTTATATTGCAGCTGCAGAATAAAGAGGCTGAAGCTTCCGCCACTCGTGAAACTTCATTCGCTGAGGCCCCTGGTACTCCTATGGTAATACTTGCTCTACTTGACCTTATGGAGATCACATGGGTGCTATTGCAGTAATTATTCCTGTTACCTCAGCATTTATCCATGAGAGTCTTGAACCTTGATTCATTCCATTTCTCTTTTCATTTTTGAAATTCCTTATATTTGCTGGAATGGCGCAACTTTCGATTTCTGTTAATCTGATTTCTAATAAAATTCTAATTTACATAAATAACATAAACCTGTGCTGTTTTAGCGCTCATATCGTGGAGATACGGAGCGGCCATTTGTATCTGAAGCAGTTGGTTTTGCCGGTAAAAGTTGTCTTCTTCAGGTATGCATAGTGACAAGCGACCACTTTTTGCTTAAATTCTTTCATGTTGTGTTTCAGGAGAAAGAGTGGGCAAAAGGGAGCATAAACGCAAGGTACTGATGCTTAGTCCTCTCCCAAACTTTCTAGATAAACTGAAATATATGTTTGGATTTAAAACATTCAATAAAATATTAAATCACTTGTGCTCAACAATCATAATGTATACTTATGCATAATAATCATCTTAGCAATAATTTTCCTGATTATATATATATATATATATATATATCTATATCTATATTGCTCTGAGTGTGTTTGTGTGTGTGTGTATTCTCATACCATTTTCAGGCTCCTGGAAGATTTATGGATGTGCCACCTTCACCTCCCCAGTCTAAAAGGTCAAGGAAATTGAAGGCTTCTGATGGTTGATTTTCCGTCAAAAATATAAAATGACATAATTGGTACCTTCTCTGTGTACTAATGCCATAATCTCGGGATCTTTTTTATCACATGAACTTAGGAAATTCATTTAACTTTCAAACTATTGAATTTCTGCTAGAACATCTTATATGCACAATCTTTTATTTTTTGACATCCTATTCTATATTGCTTTGTGGCCATGGATTGGAGCTTTTGTTTATTTTTTGATTTTTAGGGCCATTATTTGATGGACGTGTGCATATTGTAACAAAACTTATCTATGAGAATCCTCTACTCTTGTTGCTTAGCATGTTGTCACCTTAATGAATCTCCATCTTATATTTTATATATCTTCTATAACTGATGTTTTGGCATTTGTGTGTCGTCCAACTATATATATTCTGAACCTTTCAAGTTATTAATGTGTTTCTTTTTCTAAGTTTAGTCTATGCATTCTTCTAGCATGCACTACAATCTTAAAAGAACTAGACCATATTTTATTGCGGTATCATATATGCATTCCCTACGTTATTCCTATGCAGCCTTTGAATCTCCCAACTAACCTATGTGCGGCATAGCTTTAAATGTAGGTTTTACTGCCTACAAAACCAGGATGTTATTGAACTCGTGGAATCACAATCATAGCACTTATTTATCCTATTTAGTAATGGAGCTGAATTACTCTGCTGCAAGCTATTTTGCCTTGTTTTGAACGTCCTTCGACATCAAGTTACAATGTAAATTGGACTTCCTTGGTCGTAATTTATTGTGTTTAGAGTTGGCATTTATATAATTATTTTATAATTTTGTTTATTTTCTTGTTGAGATCTATTTTTGGCCTTTTGTATTCTAAAGTGGAGCTTTCATATTATTTTCCACATCTGATAGAAATGTCTCAAATTAAGTTTTTTTTATTTAAAATAGAAAGTTTAAGAAAACATATAGAACTCCAATTTCTGCTTATTTTGAAATTTTGGAAAATTTTCTCGTTGTGACTTGATAATATGTATACGATGAAGTAATATTGTGCAATATAAAAGATGTATCACTTCAAAAAAGATGCATCACTTCAAAGAAGATGTATCACAATAGAGAGTTTAAAATGAACTTTAGGTGTTACATTATAAAAGAAATGTTAGTTGTTTTTCAATATTGATAAATTGAATATCCATGTTGCCTTTGGACACAATCTCAAATAAAATACTGGCAAATGCCGATGCATGTTATCCTAAAGTGGTGTATGGGATTCCTTATAATGCATTAAACTTTAGTGTTGCCACCCATAATAAGTATTATCTACTGAAAATTTAAAATAAAAAAGCTGCTGCTCATGTTGAAGGACATGAGCAGTGCAACTCTGTTGTTGTGTACTTTACCTCAATACTAGATAGAAAATTGTTTTAGATTTTTTATAAAATCAATAAATTGGGGAATAAAGTACAAGTTAACACATTTCTAGTGTGCTTTCCCTATCAACTACATTTTATAAAGTTTGTCTGGGAATCTTATTAGATCAAATGACATGCTATTTTTAGTATACCATAAGCTAGTGGGACTTAATACCACTTTCAGTTTTTTTTTCACGAATTAATTTAATTCCTCTTGCAAAGTTATTATCTAAGTTTTAGTAGATATCACATGTTTTACATTAGCTAGTTCTATCACGAAGATAATTGTAGCAAGTTTTATTTCTTCCCTTAGTGCTTTTCTGGCTTTAAATATTATAGATGAATCTCCATTAATTTTGTTCTTAAAATGATTGGATATATGTGAAAGTGCTTAAGTATAATGAAGCAAAACTCGAGGCACCTTTTAGTGTCACGGTGGAATTTTTATTAGAACTCCAAAGTTAAGCATGCTTGTCTTGGAGCACTCCTAGGATGGGCGAACTCTTGGGAAGTGACACCAATAGGGAAAAACTGTGAGACCATTTGCCAAAGAAAACAATACTCTGATGGGTGAGGGTTCAAGATATCACAAGTGGTATCAAAACATTACACTAGTTTGAATATGAGAACTAAGTACCATATAAAATATAGTGTTACGCAATTGGAGCCACATCTTGAATCATGGATGGAATAAAGTGCTAAATGGTGGGAGCTACTTCTTGAATTTACAGGGGCCATCTCTCTAGTCCTATTTGCCTGCTAGATGATTTTGGGTATAGCATTGACAAGGACGTCAGATAATTAAGCGTGAAAGATTATGAAACCACTAAAGTAGAATAAAGCTGAACTGTTAAATATCGGGAGACCTTTTAGTGTAACAATGAAATTTTCCTTAGAAAATTCAAAGTTAAGCGTGCTCAACCTAGAACACTCCTAGGATGGGTGACATCCTATAGGAAGTTACACCAATGGGGTAAAATTGTGAGGCTAGTTGGTCAAAGCGGACAATAACTTGATGGTGAGTTGGGTTGTAACAATATATTCCTCCATTCTCTATAAATGGGCCCATCTTTCAATAGTAAAATTTTAATAATAAGTTTGAAATATTCATTATAACCAGTAGTTATTTTTTAGTCTGATTATATGCATTTGATTAATCAAAGGTAACATGTGGAAACTCTTCTAAAATCATGATTTTTTTTAAATACAAGGCACAATTAATCTATCGAAAAATAACCCAAAAAACCATTTCATTTGATTTAGTTTCAAAGTTTTCTAAGATCGATTTATCATTATTTAACATGAAATTTTTACACTCAAATAGGTTTAAATGTGATAAATTTGGTTTATGTCCTTGATGATTTATAAAGAGTTTTTTTTCTTTCAACTTAGGGCAGGTAATACCTATGAGTATAGCGTATTCAAGAGGCAACCATAATACTCTCTAGTATGTAATTATTTGTATATATTAAAAAAATTAAAATCTATTTTCAAATATATTTATGTTCTTGCATTATTTTATAAATTATCTAAGAAATGAAGAGAAATTAAATTGTTAATTTAAAGAATTCTATGAACATCAACCTGCAACCTTTAAAGAATTCTATGAATTCATTTTAAGCTTTATTTATAAATTTTTTTCTCTATATTGCAAAAATTATAAACTCTAATTAGTATATATATATTCTTATTTTTATGAGCTCTATAAGTAGTGAAATGAAATGCTATTCATTTAATTATTTTTTCTCAAGAAATTTACGCACCTTGATACAAAATAATTTCTGGAAACTAATTAATATCTCCATTTTGTGAGCTATTTTTACCAAAATATTTGAGACATGGTGAGCTATTTTTTGACTATTTTAGTCATAATAATACTCAGGATTTATATTTTAAGGTAAAAGTTATATAATTTTTTTCAATTAAAAACAAATAATTAACTTAACTATAAATATACCTCATGTTAATTTTTTCTTTATATATAACCCACTTATTACCCTTTCCATAACTTCACCCCCTTTCTTTTAGTGCCACCTAATGAGAAGTTTAGGGGGGAAATGGGGGTATTGTGCAATATAAAAGACGATGGAGATAGAAAGGAAAGTTACCTTCTCAGCGTTATCTTTGTTTGTTGGAATATTAGGGAAATTATTCATCTTAAGACTACTAATGCGTTAATGCCGATTTCAATGATATTTCTCTTTTTCATTATTTAAAAATTTTAAATTTGTAAAAGTTATAATAACTCTCTATATTTGGAAAATTTTCACAATATAATTTTAATATGTTATTATCCTAACTATTCTACACTTTTTGACATAATCATATCTCAATTTTAGTTTTCAACGGTCAGGGTGGCTTTATAGAGCCATACAAATTCGAAGATCTAATTATTTAAATAATCAAATACAATAACAAAAGTAATAGGCTATCTTAAGGGATAGAATATCACTTTATAATGAGTATACTTAAATTAAGAACTTTTAGATATTTAATTTGGTCTATAATTAAAACTAATAAATAATTTTCCTATATAATCCAAAGATTAGATATGGTTTAGATTAAATATGGTGTCAAAACTTCGTAGAGGACCAAGCCTCTATAGTTAATTATATCTTAAATAATTGAAGTTACTTAAACAAACTCTTGATTAAGGGTGTGGTTTTGTCTTCAATAAATTTCTAAGTTTAGGTTTTCATTATTGATTGTCAGAATTTCATATGGGTGAGGTGCAAAAGTGAAATAATTATTAATAAGTCCCTCCAAGGAAAGAAGAGTAGGAGATATCAAAGATACTGAGAAATTCAGTGATATCTCAACCATCCTATTATTTGGTTTTACCAATTTTGAAAAATAAATTTATTTGATTTTTCATCTTGACAATTTATTAGAAATTTTATGACTTAGATCACATGATATATGATTATGAGAAAGTCTTAGAGGTGAGTATTTATGTCGTAACTTGACAAGTAACCTCCGAGTCCTGAAACTAAAGTGAAGTTGACTGAAAGAGGCTTCAAAACCCTAATTTTAAGAAAAACACAAAAAAAATAAAATTTAATGGACTTATCACCCTACCTGGAAAGGCTTGTCATCTAAAACACCTAGTCACGTTTAAAACCATATAGGCTAATCTCAATGAATGTAAGATATGGTAGGTTGTTATTCATAAATATTAGTAGGTTACACAACTCTATCATAAGTCGAGCTGCATGAGTATAACTGCTATGCAAAACATTCTATGACTAATGCGAATAAATTTTTTAATTTAAAATTTAAATATTTTAAAGCTCATCGCACTTAAATATTTTATTTTTTTGTTTACTTTTAGTTTCAAGTGAATCAGAGCAGAACGTGTAACGGTTAATGCAGGTCCTTAATGATGAATGCTTAAAAAAATTTGTTCATAAGACCAATCGAGATGTAAGGGCAGAACTCAGTCAATGAGGTAATGGTTCTCACAAAACAAATTATCTCCTTTTGTCAATGTGTGAGTGTCTGAAGTATAAGGAATATAAACATCATGATTGTGCACATGTCTACGATTATATTTTTATGGCTATTCCTTCATCGTAAAAAGGTTTCTACTGAATTTTCATTAATGTCAATTTGGTTGTTTTAAATGTATGATGTTTTCTAGGGTTATGAATGCAATATTTTATGTAATTCTTTTATGGTTACAATTTTCATTTAATTTTAAAAATTTAAGTTAAAATTATTTATTTCAGTTTGTGTATAACATTTAGTTTTTAGTGAGTTTAACAATAATCTAAATAAATGACAAAAGCACAAACCTTAAATTTCATAAGGATAAAGACAATTGATGGGTGTCAATTATTGACCTACGTCAGTCCCCATCAGTTGATATCATTCAA